GAGCAGGGCGTCAGGATTAACTAGTATGTGTGTGTGTGTATGTGGCGAATTAAATTGAACAACAAAATCTGGCACGCACACTACAGAGTGAACAGAGAAAGAGAGATTCTCGAAAATTAAACACGTTTTCCGCAATTCTTACAGGAGAACAAGAGAGCGAGAGCGAGCGGGGATGAGTACTAGGAGGCGCCCCTTGAATGTGGGCGACCCGGTTTATTTACACCGACGTATAGTATACCCGCTACGCTACCGATTTGCTTACATATATACTTTATCATGGACCGCGCCTGCCTGCTGCTGCACTTTCTACTACTACTACTTCTACTCTGTGTGCGTGTGCGGCGACCATCAAGTGCACACGTATGCATGTATAGGTTTTCCTCTATCAATGAGCGCGAAATTTTATCATACAAATTCCCGTGGCCCGGTACTCACACTTGCACTGCACAAGCACTTTAATTTTTTTTTCTTTTTATTAATAATTAATTCATGACCGACACGACATTTCTTCGGCGGCGCAGCAAAAAGTTTTGTTATTTGTGAAGCAATGTGTTTTGTTTCGTTTTTTTGGTATTTAATCGCTACAGCGAAACCAACGAAACTATCGATAAAATATACCTAAATATACATAGTCATTTAATATACTTCCATATATTGTTAATAATATATTATATATCGATAGTCGGTGCGATGAATTAATTACATAAAACAAATATGCAAATCATTTTCCTCGGTTTCGATGTTATATTTAATATTACAAGCTAGATCGAACTCTAAGCGGTATATCTACAATTTTATCCATTTTATCAATCAATTCTACACAAGATTGGCGAGTTTTCAAAATATTCTGAAAAGTATTAACAATGAAACAATAATTTCACCCGATTGAAGAATAAATAATTATTTTTATTAGATTGTATACCCTATGAGCATATGACAACTACTACACATTTTCTACATACAAATAACATACTTAGCAGAATAGCCAAATAATTAACAGAATATTGTCTACTTAATATTAAAGATACATATAATTAAATGCGTATGAAAATTAACAGGAACACCTTAGAGCCTTTGTCTGCCATTATGGTTATTTGGCTATATAAATTGAAAAATTGTATTGTATTCACTTTGAGTGAGATTGCCATTTTAAAATAACAATCACACTCTAAGAAAAATTATAAGAGATGGACATTTGAATTATATGTTAACCTTACAGGCGTCGCTTGGTGGTTTTTTTTACTGCTTCACTCCAAAGGACAAACGCCAATTTTAAAACGACGCGCGCGACACTTTAAAAACTGTATTACACATACAAACATATGAACTTTATGTAATTTCATACGCACTTTAGGTACACATGAACAGCAATATATACTTCTATTATACAGATTACAAAGGTAAAACGTCAGTCGAACGTTAAATGAGTTACAGGGATACAGGGAACACATAACACGTCCGCATATTTATCACTTCTCACTCACCGATTTTCTGCCATTGTCTATTATCGTCTTATTTGTTTTTTTAACGGTATATCATTTAAATTTTGTTTATAAGTTTCGTTTTTGGTTTCTGGACCCGTTGATATTTTAAATTTATATCTCTAAGTAACAGGACTTTCGAACGGTTGCATTTTTGACTGGATTATTCAGTATTTTATGTTTTTGTATTCGTCTATACGTTCACACTTACATATCCAAGCACTATTCCTCGACATGGATCTTCTATATGATATTACTAGCTAGTTAGGAGTCTCAGCGCTAAATCTATAATTTTATCCGATGTATCAATCAATTCTCCACAAGATTGTTTGGTTTTTACGACTTGCTTTTCCTGGAATGTTTCCAAAGTCTAAAACTAAAAGGGTCAACCAACATAAAAGACCTTAAATGTTACGTGAGTGGGAACGGAAATGTAAAATGTACATGTAAATTAACATTAAGCCTCGAAAAACACGCTTGCTAGCAAACATAAGCTAGCGAAAGAGTACGACCAGAGGTGAAAACCGCAGGCACTTGGGAAAGCCGCTTTGTTTTGAAAATTTGTGAAAACAACATTGAGTAAGCCCATATCTACAGGGAAAAAACAGGAGGAATATGTGTATATTTATGGAAACCCATATTCGTGTTATACAAAAGAGTATCCCTAACAAGCTTTATAAACAGCTAGAACTAGCTACAAAAAAGCTTACTCGGCATCATTGTCTAAAAAAAACCGAACGTGTCGTGTCCCAACAGAAAGTTCTTCGCTTTAAAAAATCATAAAACATGACCGAATTACAGGTAATCTATTGACTAATGTCTATATTCTATATAATATTCTTTAATTCCTCTCTCTTGATGTACGCCGCAGGAATTCAATCAAGCTGCCGAAGATGTCAAGAATCTGAATACCACGCCCGCAGATAATGACCTTTTGGAACTCTACAGCCTGTTCAAGCAGGCCACGGTGGGCGATTGCAATACGGGTGCGTGAGAGCACGAACACTTGCTTGATGAAGAAATGTATGAATTATTAATGCAATTTATGGCTTCCAAACACTGCAGACAAGCCCGGTTTTCTGGACTTTAAGGGCAAAGCCAAGTGGGAGGCATGGAATGGACGCAAAGGAATGAGCAATGCCGAAGCGCAGGGCGCGTATATAGCCAAAGTAAAGGGATTGATTGCCTCCGTGGGACTGAAGTCTTAGGATGGATATTATGCTTATACGCTATGATATTATTATATGTATGCATTTTTTGGAATCTCACAATGTCGTCAAACGCACAAAGTCTTGAGTCTTTTCCGCACAAAAAATATACTCACACACATTGAAATGTACATATTTAATTTTGTCATTTAGCGGGAATGTACATATACATATATATATATACATATATACTGATTTAGGATTGCTGCTGTTCGACCTCGGGCGAGGCGGCGGCACTGTTCTGTGACTTGCGCTGCCTCTCGTACACCTCGCGCTGCAGCTCGCGTAGATTGAGTTCGAGTGTTTCCACCACCTCGAAATTCATGTCCTGCCGCGCTTGCTTAATGTAGCCCTTTATAATATTGATTTGTTCAATCAGGGGATCGTCCAGGCTGGACTTGGAGGTGGATGTGGAGGCTTGTGGCGCAGACCAGTTGTTAATGGATTGCAAATCCGACTGGAAGGATTATAAATAAGCGAAAGGCCACAGGTAAACGTTTGTTTACTCACCCCCTGAGCAAAGGTGCCGCTTTCCAGACCACCACCCGACTGTATGGTTGTGGCGCCCAGTCCGTAACGTTCGTACGCCTCCATGGCCATGCGTTGTTCGGTGAGTATTCGCTGCTCCGTCTCCATACGCTTGCGTTCTTGTATCTGCTGAATGTGCGCCTCATTCGGCAGCGGTGGCAGCGACAACATACGCTCCTTGATGGCCTGAATGCAGCTCAGGCGAATGGCCTTCTTCAGCGACTCCTCACGACTGCCGGGCTCACAGTAGATGGCCAGAATACGCTTACTCCGCATATCCATGGCCTCGGCCACCTGACCTATCTTGCCACGCAAGGCGCTGGCATCGGCAATGGTAAATATGGTCTCTCCCTCGTGCAGGCTGTTGATTATCTTCAGATACATGTCCAGATCGGGTGTGACATCCTTTTGCAGCTGCCGTATCTGCTCGTAGACCTGGACGAGTAGCGGGCGGCACGTGCGGCTCTCGTGCATGTCCCGGCGGGTGTCCAGCAGCCACAGGCAATGCTCGCAGAGGCGTATGGCACTGTCGCCCTGATGCATGTGCTGCATTGGTTCGCTTCGACTGGTGGAGAGGCTGGCCAATTGCACTGCAAAAAGCAAAGCAAAAGAATAAAGGAGTCACCTGGGGATGAGTTCTCCGACTTACGGGCATTTTCTAGGGCTAGGAACTTGGAGCAATCATTGCACATAATGCCACCACACAGACGACAGTGATGCTGCCTGCGGGCAATGTGGAAACTCTTGGCGCAGCTGGGGCACAGCTTCACCGAAGTGCCATCCAACCAGGCCACCGTCTGCTGTTCGTGCTGCTTGCGCTGCACCGAATCCGTGGGCAAATCCTTCAGCAGCCGATGCAGGCGTATAATCAGCTTGTTCGTCTCGCTCGCGTAGCGTTCCAGGCGTGGATTGCGCACGGATTGAAAGTACTCAAAGTGCGAACACTCGGCGCCAACCTGCTGCTTGGACATATAGTTGAAGACATTAAAACGCGAGCGGGCATTACTCAGCACGCGCTGATCCGCGCCGTTTCCATTGGCAGAGGACGAGGCGCCAGCTGCCGTCGAAGACGAGGAGGAGCCCGCTGCTGCACCGTTACGTTCATCTTCAAAGTTGTTAAGAATTTTCTTCTTTGCTTTTACAAATATGTTGAACACAGACTTGAGGGTATCCTCCTCCTCCGCGTGCTTCCGCGCAAAATGATCCGTGAGCACATCAATGGATTTCAGATCTGCGCGGCAAATCGGGCACAGGAAACCCTCTAGGATCTCCCCACTGGCCGTGCCCTGATCCTCATCGCTGTCAAAGGGATTGCTGGACATATTTTGGACGATGAGTAAGCACTGGAATTGGTTTGTTCTTTTTTTTTGGTGGGTGTGTTTGTCCCCGAACCTTCCCGAACCTAGAATTGGTACACTGGCATGACTAGCTACTGCTTGGCGGCCACATTCAGGTAAAGTCGAGCACTCTTGTTACGTGACTGCAGTCCTAGAAATGCATTTTTGTTACATTTTAAATAATGATTTTACCAAAATAATCAAACCTGCTGCAAACTCTGCTTTTTTCCACCAGTTGCCATTCACACGACGGCGCACTCACTTTAAAAGCTTCTTCGCGGTGAGTGTCAGGGTAAGAAGAAGTCGCGTTGCAAGTTGCCTGCTTGGAAGTTTTCACGGGCATTTTCAGCTGCCAGCCTACGCCTTTAAAGCCAAAGACACTTTGCTCTTTCGACAACAATTAGCCCTGAATTGAGGCAGCCGCACATACCGAAACCGTTAGGAACAGTGCTTTGACGCGAACGCTGCCATGTCCGAAAGATCCAAAGGTGACGTGTCGTCTCGCGGCGTAAACAACAATCCAAATGCGACGCGTGTCGTTAAAAATTCATTACTTAGCGCCTCGGTAACCGGACTCAGCTACGAAGACTTTCCCAACAAGCCGCAACTATTACCCGCCGCACCGCCCGTGGTGCGTGCCCCGCCGCCAGCACCCACACCAGCTCTCATTGCTGGCATTCTGAATCGCGGTAAGTGTGTCACAGCCACACAGCAGAGAGATGTGATGTTGGCTACCGCTCTCGGTCCGCTCCACTTACTTGTTGCTTCCCATTGCTGATAAGACCTTAATCGATAAGGTGCTAGTTTTTATAATGTTGCTAAAAATGACTTTCAAATGGCAAATTTTTATTTGATATTTTGTCGCTTTTTTTTTGGCACAATTAACGTAACAATAAACCCCCTCCCTAGCGGCCTGCCTACTCCATGCTGCGCGTCGAGTGCGAGCGATAGGTGGGCAGCTCCAGCGATACCTTCCGCCTGCGGCAGCACCACACAATGCCCCAAATAATGGCCACAATCAGCAACAGCAGCAGTATGGCTCCCAAACAAATGGCAGCAATGGCTCCTTCGGTGAGCACGACATCGCGTACGTCTATGTTGATGCTGCGCTGATTGCCAGACGCATCGTAGGCAGTGATCGCCACCTTTGGCTCGCAACAGGAGGCCATGTAGGTGGCCTTCAGGGGCTCTGTGGTGCCGGCTGTGTAGTAATTTCTGTAGAACAAGCCCTCCGCTGGCGTTGTCTGCAGTCGCATAATGCCCGATTGCCAGTCCTGGGCCGTCAGATCCAATGTCCAGAAGCGCTCGCCGCAGGTCAGAGACTCGGGCGTCAGATAGTCGCAGCGGCTGCCAAATTCCCACGAGAGCGTGGGTCCAGTTGTGTCCTGGAAGAGTTTTTACTTTAATTTAAGAGAATTCCCTTGTAGTTGGGTGTTTGTTGCACTTGCCTGTGCATCTATGCTGGTCACAACCTTCAGGTTGACTGCCATTGTCGTTGTTTCACGGCCATAGTTGGTGAATGTTATCCTATCCGTGGTGCCCTGTGCTGTGCCCGTGGGCACCAACACCGTCAAACGCACGGTGCTTGTCTCCAGAGCGCGCTGATTTAGTCTGCAATCGGTAAAGAAATGTTTCATTAGTGGTACAAGGGTCTAGAGATCTCCAACCTACCTTGTGGGATTCAGATTGACCAAAAATCGTCGCTCATCTGTCACCTGTATGGTCGAGTAGACCGTCTCCGTGCGCATATTGGTCACTTCAAAGAGCAGCGTGGCCGTCTGGCCAGCTGTCACCAGCAGCTGCGACTGTGTGCTCAGCTCAATCTTTGTGCCACAACGCTGCTGCAGCATGGCATTCAGCGAGCTGCGCTGCTGACCCGTGGCGGCGGCCAGCAAGGTTTGATTCAGACTTGGACTACTTTGAATTTCCTTATCGGAAAACGTTTCAATTTCGCTTTTGGGCTCATCCGTGTCCTCTTCCAGCTTCTCCCTTTCCTTCTCGGGAAACTGAATTCTGGCCAGCCGCGACGAGGGCTTGACTTGTCCATTCTTATAGTAGCTATCAATGCGTTTGATGATGTCGCCTGTAATGGAATGCAGTGAGGGGGGTTAGATGTTTGCGTCAATGGGCAAGGCAGAGATGACGCTCAAATCGACTTCCTCCTCTACCTCACACCAAGGTTGACACGGTTATCAGTACAGAACAGATCCCGGGCTGCTGTTATCTCCCTTTGGCAGAGACAACAAACAATCATATAATTGCTTTACGGTGTGCGCGCTCAGTTTAATGCGAGAATCGATCACGCCCGGTTGCCCATGAACAAGTCAAAACTCACCCAAAAATACATCTGCTTTGCGTTCGGCGCGTATGAACACATTGTAGGGCTCGTCGCTGTTCAGCTCTGGATTTAGTTTCAGTTTAAAGATTGTGGCCTTGCGCAACTTGTTCAGCGGTACGTAGGCATCCAGTTCGTTGTTATTCGTTGTGCCCGTGTCATTTGGACCTCCAAATTTCACCAGTTTCCTCAGATTAATCTCTAAAAGTGTGTGAATACGAAAAAAGATAAATATTTTTGTCTTCCACTTTGCCGTTCACAGCACAACGTGCACAGCTGTTTTCACAGGTGTTTGTTACGGCGTTGCCACACCGCCACATTTCATTTGTGTTTATTTAATTAAATATTACGAGTTTGTGCAATAAAACGTACCATTCTTAATAACAAATATAGTTTTGCTTGTGCGCTCCGGTGCTAATAAATAATTATCAGCAGCCGGCTAAATATACTATTTTCATACTGACAAAAGCTTTGGCTCCGCCTGTCACAGCAGCTGCGCATTGGAGTCTCTTGTTGTGAAAGAAAAACACGTCCGAAAAAAAAGATTCAACACAAAAACAATTGTTTTTCATTGTGAAAGAAACAAATTATGAACAATTAAGTGCCGCTAAAGTGTTTGCCAATACACATTTCGTTTGACCACAAACTCCATTAGAGGCGACATGGACCGCAAGTCCTAAAATATTGCAACTCCATTTCGTGTGAGTGTTTTTTGTTTGGTCAGAGGCCACTTTTGAACTTGGCAATGAAATGGCCGTGATGTGGATTGTCTAATTTTTGTTGTAACTCACTCACGTATACATATACTTTTGTGTAAGAAATGTGCAAAAATGGCCGCGATTTACAGTTTTAACGCGGTAAAAGGGAGCGGAAGGTGCCACAATTGTTTTGATATTGGGGCAGGCAAAGAACCACCCACTCTACCCTTATTAATTGATTTCTTCAGAGTGGAGCAGTCGCACCACTTTGAGTACTTCCGGAAAGCTCTGCCGATTACTCGTATATATGACCGAAAGTTTTTGTTTGTTTTGCAAAAAAATTGTGGCATGAGTATTTTTAGCGGCGATAAGCCGCCGTTTGGTCTCAGAACGAACGTCCGATCAATGAGCTCTTTGAGTCATAATTATTTTTTGTCTGGCCCCGCGGCTCTCCACAATCTATATAACATGTAAAACTGAACTTTGCCCCTCAACTTCGACGTGGCGTATGATTAATCCGACGGAGTACTGTCGTCGTTTGTCAGTAGATCCAATCTAAAGAAATTCCTCGTTGAGCGGTTTGGGTTAGTCAAGAACAGCAATTTGTGCGGAACAGTTGATAGAGAAAGTGCGCTGACATTTAAACAGAATGTGCAGTAAAATTACGAAACAAATACTTACCATTTAAGGACGAAACACAAAAGGACAACAAACTAGTGCTGGGGAAAACATTAGAAAAGGCGTGTAAAAGTCCCAAAAAGGAATATCTATATTTTTGCTGGTTAGTTTGGTAAATAATTTTTGATTTTTCTTAGTTTTTCGTTGGTTTTTTGTTTATTTTTGTGTACCCTTAATATGCTAAAACATTTATTACTTTTTATTGTATAGATAAAACACAGTAAACACACATTTATATGGAAAATATTCTTTTCTTTTGTACTACAGTTAAGTATTTGTTAAATTGTATTTTGTTGAGCATTTATACTAGCGTTTTGGTTAAGGAAAGCGTTGGGTTTTCAGCTATATACAAGGATCAGCAATGCTGAACTGGGTTTAGAATAGTGATTAGGGGGGCTTGGGGTGTGGTTAGTTAAAGAACTTAAAGACTAAAACATAAATTATAGATAAGTACAGTTGACATTCGGTTTCGTTTTCTTACACTGAAAGGTTAAGACACGCTGTTTAAATTTAAGGTTTTTTTGTTACTCTGTTTATACGTTTTTGTGGGGAGCCTGGATGGGTAATATTAGTTATTTAACATTACTTTCGACTTGCACATTAGTTGTGACCATGAAGCACGGGACATTTTATCGATATGTTGAGGCGCAACCAACTTAACTTCGTACGAACAAAAAAGGAGGCCCTTAAGCACGGCAACCCTGGTCAATTTCGTTTACAAAACTCTAGAATTACTCAAGTTTTTCGTATAAACAGAGCAAAAAGACTTAAAAACTAATTGTGGGAGGCTTGGCACAGACTCCTACTGTAATTATTATGCTTCTAAAAACTAAAATACGAGTACAACCCTGCGTTAGTATGTGTGGAAATAGCAAATAGAGTTGGAGTGTGTGCCCAAATATAAGATCTAAGACTGAGAACTAACCACCATTTGGCGTTTCCAATGTGGCACGTCGCATATTCGCATCGATGCGTACATGCAAACTTGATAGCGTCGTATCCACTGGCAGTTCCAGTTCCTGATCACCCCGATAGGCATCCGCCACTAGAGTGAGCTGCAAGACAGAAATGGAAACAAAGAAAAAAGAAGAAAAAAAAGAAACAGATCGAGATTCATGAACATTTTTGGCATTTGTCTAAGTTTCCTTTCTATAAACAAATTTGCCCTTCACTTTTCTTTCCATAACCTAGTTTTGCCAGCACCAGCAGCGGCAACAAAAGATGCACCATCATCAGCAGCAACAACAACAAGTCTCGGGGTCTTGAGCACCACCTGCCGCTGTCTGCCTGCCTGCCTCCCTGGTAATCCAAGTTGCTTCGGTCTCAGTTGGCTGCTTGGGCAACACTTTATACGAGTGTAGTATGCTGCTGTTGCTGTTGCTGTTGCTGTTGCTGCTGTTGGATCTCGTCTTGTCGCCACTTTCAATTTTCAACACTTTTTGGTGGGCCAGACGGAAGCCGTCTTCGCCTTCTCTTTCACTCTGTGTGTTTTTTTGCACACCAGCCACACCTCGCTTTAATTACCCCAATTACGGGTCAGGTTTGGCCTTTTTGTTTTATCATCGTATTCATATCTCACCGTATTGCCTGCTATATGCTGACCATGCTCTGTGCTCACAATGTGAATGATTTCGCCACCAGAGCGAATGGCAACCTCGCCAAGGATGCCACCTACAGCGTCTTCTGTCTCGTTCTCAATGACTGCTTGCTCGCCATACCACAACAGGAATAGCTGTAATAAAAGCGTGGCAAAAGAAACAACAATTAAAAGAGAACTAGCGGATAGTGTACCGTTAACTACTCACTCGGATTCTCTTCTTCAGCAGCGTAATGGCCGCATCCTGCACCAGTTCCGTGTGTGGTGGAACAGCAGCTGTCGATATGAACACTGCACTGTCGTAGGGCACTAGTTCCGCTGCATGCAGCACGCCCACAAATGAATTGCCGCCCTCGTGCTCTTTGGTGCTGTTCAAACCAG